TTACATTTGTTAAATAATTCAGGTGCTATTTTTTAGCTTAAGACTATTTACTTTGTTTTATACTTAATTCTAACTATAGATTCACTACAAATCTTATGATTACAAGCATTGATCCTGATACCAACCTCTTATTTAATGACTTAAATGAATCAAACAGTTACTGTAATTACTACACTGCAGAACAATCAAAGGCACTTCTCAGTGCCAACAACAACATAACTATCTTTAACTACAATATCAGATCTTTAAGCAAGCATTACGATGACCTCATAGCATTACTAAATTCCTTACATGCCAATATGTCCATCATTACACTAACTGAAACCTGGCTAAAGCCTGATAGTACAGATGTCTATGCCATTCCTGGTTACACAGCCATACACAACTGTAGGCCAGACCAACAAGGGGGTGGCACAGCCATATACTACTCAGACCAACTAGAATGTATCACTAATACTTGCACAAGGGATGAACATGGGGAATATATAATAGCCAAATTCAAATCCAAATACCTACAAAAACCTCTCGCATTGATAAACATCTACAGAGTTCCACAGTCAAACATTAGCCAATTTAGTCAAAACCTAGGAAGTATGATAACTGATGCACGCATGAACAAAGATCACTTACTACTCTCAGGTGACTTCAATATAAATCTCCTGCAAGACCAGGACCCACACGTTACTGAATTCACAAACACAATGAGTAACTGTATGTTGCTACCAACAGTAACAAAACCTACAAGAGTTACAGAGACTAGTGTTTCCCTACTTGACCACATCTGGACCAACACCATATCCCCTTTAAAATCAGGCATAATTACAGATAATACCACAGACCACTACCCTACTTTTCTCATAACAACTCTTGGTAAATTACCCCAAGACACTACTAAAGTCACCTTCAGACTTCACAATGAGGCAGCCATTAATAACTTCACAACAGCAGTAGCAAACATTGACTGGCACACTGAGCTAGAAATCTATACAGATATTGACGAATGTATTAATAATTTTCTAAAAAGACCCAATACCTCTATAACAAGCACTGCCCTAAAAAAACTAAACAGATGACAGCTAAGAGACTGAACAGTCCCTGGTTAACACCCAGCATTTCCAAATCCATAAATACAAAACACCAATATGAAAAACAGTACAGAATGGTCACATAACCAGAGACCAAACAAAACGTTACTCGTCAATCCTAACCAGCCTGATAAGAAGGGCAAAAATATTGATTTGAGAACAGATTATCCAACTTACGAGGTGATATAAAAAAGACCTGAAAACCCTATCAGAAATTCTAGGAACAAAAAAGATATCACGAAATAGCGAAATAAAATTAGCAAAATCAGATGAACCCCAACTCCACCAACAGAAACAGCAAACAGACTCAATGACTTCTTCTCCACTATAGGACAAAACTTGCCAATAAAATCCCAAGCTCACATACCCCACCAAATGACTACCTCACCGGCAACTACCCCGAACACACTGTTCCTAGCTCCGACTAACCCATACGAAGTCTCCCTTATTATCAACACACTAAAAAACAAGGCAGGAGATTTAAATACCTTACCACCCTTTATATACAAAAAAGTGTCACAAGTGCTATCACCAATCATTGCAACACTCTTTAACAAATCCATTGAATCCTCCACCTTCCCTACAGTACTCAAAATAGCAAGGGTCACCCCGATCCACAAAGGAGGAGACCAAACAGAGTTGAATAACTATAGGCCAATATCCAACTTACACACCCTCTCCAAAAATCTTCGAAAAATTAATTCATAAACGAATCTACTCGTACCTATCTCCCAAAACATACTCAAACCCCTGCCATTTGGATTCAGGCCAAATAAAAATACTAATGATGCTATTATACACATGCTAGAACATATATACACTGCAATAGAGAAAAAAGAAGTCCCACTGGGGATCTTCATTGACTTACGTAAAGCTTTTGATACAGTTAACCATGACTTGCTCCACGTAAAATTGTCACACTATGGTATAAGAGGGCACTCCCTCAACTACCTCAAGTCATACCTCAGCAACAGAAGCCAATATGTGTATGCAAATGGGCAAACTCTTCTGCACAACCAATTACAGTTGGTGTCCCACAGGGAAGTGTCCTTGGCCCTCTTCTCTTTCTCCTATACATAAATGACCTACCAAATGCTTCGCAATTACTCAAACCCACACTATTTGCAGATGACACTACATACGTCTTCTCCCACCCGAGCCCAGTCACGCTAGCCAATACTGTAAATACCGAATTACAGAAAATATCAACCTGGATGAGGACTAACAAACTTACACTAAACATTGACAAAACCTACTTCATTCAGTTTGGTAACAGAGCTACAGATGTCCCTCTTAACATAATGATAAACGGATCACCTATCACAAAGCTAACAGAGGGAAAATTCTTAGGAATCCACCTTGATAATAGACTCAAATTTCATACACATATACAACAAATTTCTAAGAGAATTTCCAAGACTGTAGGCATACTATCGAAGATACGGTACTATGCTCCACAGTCAGCCCTCCTGGCCCTATATCACTCTCTTATTTACCCCTATCTCACCTATGGAATTTGTGCATGGGGCTCAACAACAAGTAACCATCTCAGACCACTAATTACCTAACAAAAGGCTGCAGTTAGAATGATAACAAATTCTCACTATAGGCAGCACACTCCACCAATATTCAATACACTAAACCTACTCACCATACAAAACATCCATACTTATTACTGCACCTATTACATACATAGAACACTTAACTCTGATATTAACCCTCCCCTCAAACATCTCCTTGCCAACCTCAACAGAACACATGACCATAACACAAGGCACAGATCACTCTTTGATGTTCCTCGTGTCCATCTCACACTATGCAAAAACTCAATGCACATAAAGGCCCTAAAATCTGGAATTCATTACCTGTAAATATAAAAGAAACACTACCTGTTTATAAATTCAAGTCTCTTCTCAAAGATCACTTACTCACTCAAAACCAAATAAATACTGAATAACTGAACCTTATAAATTGTATAATCTTAAATGTTTCTCACAATTATATCACATAAATGTTAAACCTAAAACCCAATCTAACTTTATTATTTTTTAAATACACTACCTAACAGAATACTCCATTCTACTGAATGTACAACAATGCATACAACCATATGACCTGTCTTTGTAATACTCACTTGTGCTTTATAGTAATCTGTTTACATGAAAGTTTTATCACTGATTTCATCATTGCTTAGTTAATCTTAAGTTAATTTTAAGCCAGCCCGTAATGCTATGCATAGTATAAGTGGCTTTGGCATGCTGCTCTTATCTGTATTTTTTGTACCTCTGTATGTGTGCTCAAATTTTTAAATAAATAAATAAATAAATAAATAAATCCTTCATAGACCCATCCGCTGACACATCCACTCCCAAATATCTGAATACATTCACCTCCTCCATACTCTCTCCTGCCAATCTGATATCCAATCTTTCATCACCCAATCTTTTTGTTATCCTCATAACCTTACTCTTTCCTGTACTCACTATTAATTTTCTTCTTTTGCACACCCTACCAAATTCATCCACCAACCTCTGCAACTTCTCTTCAGAATCTCCCAAGAGCACAGTGTCATCAGCAAAGAGCAACTGTGACAACTCCCACTTTGTGTGATTCTTTATCTTTTAACTCCACGCCTCTTGCCAAGGCCCTCGCATTTACTTCTCTTACAACCCAAAATATAAAATATTAAACAACCCCCCGGTGACATCCCCACATCCTTGTCTAAGGCCTACTTTTACGGGGAAAAATAATCACCCTCTTTATTACATACTCAAAACTTGAGCCTCACTATCCTCGTAAAAACTCTTCACTGCTTTCAGTAACCTACCTCCTACACCATACACCGCAACATCTGCCATTGCCCCCTACCATCCTGTCATATGCCTTTTCCAAATCCATAAATCCACAAAGACCCTCTAGCCTTATCTAAATACTGTTCACTTATATGTTTTCACTGTAAACACCTGGTCCACACATCCCCAAACCTTTCCTAAAGCCTCCTTGTTCATCTGTTTATCCTTTTTCTCCTCTTACTCTTAATTCTTTCAATAATAACTCTACCATACATTTTACCAGGTATACTCAACGTCTTACCCCCCTATAATTTTTGCACAAATTTCTCCACCTGCTTTTAACATTTCTATCTTTATCCCATCAATCCCAGCTCCCTTTACCCCCTTTCTTTTTACCTACTGCCTCACGAACTTCCCCCCCACTCACAACTGGCTCTTCCTCACTCCTACAAGATGTTATTCCTCCTTGCCCTATACACGAAATCACAGCTTCCCTATCTTCATCAACATTTAACAATTCCTCAAAATATTCCCTCCATCTTCCCAATACCTCTAACTCTCCATTTAATAACTCTCCTCTCCTATTTTTAACTGACAAATCCATTTGTTCTTTAGGCTTCCTTAACTTGTTAATCTCACTCCAAAACTTTTTCTTATTTTCAACAAAATTTGTCACTTAAGTTGCATGTGTCCATTTATCTAACATTTTATCTGTAATTGTACCATTATTAGTAAACTCATATTGGTAGAAACACATCAGAGATGGCATTGTGGTGTTTCAACATTACCATATATTTGCTGCAGAATTTTGCAGCTGATGTTTGTTCCGTAGATGTCGTCGCAACAGTTTTTTTTATGCACCCTGGGACTGTCTTCTTTTGTCAGATATTTATCTTGTTATATACTCACTGAAGTGATAGTTTTTAAATGTGTGTACATCAGGGTTGAGTATCTTCATCCCACGTACAGTACAAGTACAGTTTAACTGTCGTACTTGTAACATTCTCTTGAAATATGTAAGTAATTTTAATTGCTATTACAATTTTTTTTACCTTAATTAATGGCTGTCTCTTGTCAAAAAAAAAAAAAAAAACATATTGACTATCACTTCTTTTTCTGTTTTCCAGAAGTGTGTTGATACCACAATTCAGATTACTTTTTGACTGGACCATCACCACCCTTCCTTCAGTGTGCAGGTACTGTCCTTCAGGAGTTCACCCTTCCTTCAGTGTGCAGGTACTGTCCTTCAGGAGTTCACTCTTCCTTCAGTGTGCAGGTACTGTCCTTCAGGAGTTCACTCTTCCTTCAGTGTGCAGGTACTGTCCTTCAGGAGTTCACTCTTCCTTCAGTGGCAGGTACTGTCCTTCAGGAGTTCACTCTTCCTTCATGCAGGGACTGTCCTTCAGGAGTTCACTCTTCCTTCAGTGTGCAGGTACTGTCCTTCGGAGTTCACTCTTCCTTTATGTGCAGGTACTGTCCTTCAGGAGTTCACTCTTCCTTCAGTGTGCAGGTACTGTCCTTCAGGAGTTCACTCTTTCCCTTCAGTGTGCAGGTACTGTCCCCTTTAGGAGTTCACTCTTCCTTCAGTGTGCAGGTACTGTCCTTCAGGATTCCTCTTCCTTCAGTGTGCAGGTACTGTCCTTCAGGAGTTCACTTTTTCCTTCAGTGTGCAGGGACGTCCCTCAGGAGTTCACTCTTTCCCTTTAGTGTGCAGGTACTGTCCTTCAGGAGTTCACTCTTCCTTCAGTGTGCAGGTACTGTCCTTCAGGAGTTCACTCTTCCTTCAGTGTGCAGGTACTGTCCTTCAGGAGTTCACTCTTCCTTCAGTGTGCAGGTACTGTCCTTCAGGAGTTCACTCTTCCTTCAGTGTGCAGGTACTGTTCTTCAGGAGTTCACTCTTCCTTCAGTGTGGGAGTACTGTCCTTCAGGAGTTCACTCTTCCTTCAGTGTGGGAGGTACTGCCCTCTTCAGGAGTTCGCTCTTCCTTCAGTGTGCAGGTACTGCCCTTCTTCAGGAGTTCGCTCTTCCTTCAGTGTGCAGGTACTGCCCTTCTTCAGGAGTTCACTCTTCCTTCAGTGTGCATGTACTGCCCTTCTTCAGGAGTTCACTCTTCCTTCAGTGTGCAGGTACTGCCCTTCTTCAGGAGTTCGCTCTTTCTTCAGTGTGCAGGTACTGCCCTTCTTCAGGAGTTCACTCTTCCTTCAGTGTGCAGGTACTGCCCTTCTTCAGGAGTTCACTCTTCCTTCAGTGTGCAGGTACTGTCCTTCTTCAGGAGTTCACTCTTCCTTCAGTGTGCAGGTACTGTCCTTCAGGAGTTCACTCTTCCTTTAGTGTGCAGGTACTGCCCTTCTTCAGGAGTTCACTCTTCTTTCAGTGTGCAGGTACTGTCCTTCTTCAGGAGTTCACTCTTCCTTCAGTGTGCATGTACTGCCCTTTTTTCAGGATTCACTCTTCCTTCAGTGTGCAGGTACTGCCCTTCTTCAGGAGTTCACTCTTCCTTCAGTGTGCAGGTACTGCCCTTCTTCAGGAGTTCACTCATTCCTTTAGTGTTCAGGTACTGCCTTCTTCAGGAGTTCACTCTTCCTTCAGTGTGCAGGTACTGCCCTTCTTCAGGAGTTCACTCTTCCTTCAGTGTGCAGGTACTGCCCTTCTTCAGGAGTTCACTCTTCTTTCAGTGTGCAGGTACTGTCCTTCAGGAGTTCACTCTTCCTTTAGTGTGCAGGTACTGCCCTTCTTCAGGAGTTCACTCTTCTTTCAGTGTGCAGGTACTGTCCTTCTTCAGGAGTTCACTCTTCCTTCAGTGTGCAGGTACTGTCCTTCTTCAGGAGTTCACTCTTCCTTCAGTGTGCAGGTACTGTCCTTCTTCAGGAGTTCACTCTTCCTTCATGTGCAGGTACTGCCCTTCTTCAGGATTCACTCTTCCTTCAGTGCATACTGTCCTTCTTCAGGAGTTCACTCTTCTTTCAGTGTGCAGGTACTGTCCTTCTTCAGGAGTTCACTCTTCTTTCAGTGTGCAGGTACTGTCCTTCTTCAGGAGTTCACTCTTCTTTCAGTGTGCAGGTACTGTCCTTCTTCAGAGTTCACTCTTCTTTCAGTGTGCAGGTACTGTCCTTCTTCAGGAGTTCACTCTTCTTTCAGTGTGCAGGTACTGTCCTTCTTCAGGAGTTCACTCTTCTTTCAGTGTGCAGGTACTGTCCTTCTTCAGAGTTCACTCTTTTTTCGTGTGCAGGTACTGTCCTTCTTCAGGAGTTCACTCTTCTTTCAGTGTGCCCGGTACTGTCCTTCTTCAGGAGTTCACTCTTCTTTCAGTGTTTCAGGTACTGTCCTTCTTCAGGAGTTCACTCTTCTTTCAGTGTGCAGGTACTGCCCTTCTTCAGGAGTTCACTCTTCTTTCAGTGTGCAGGTACTGTCCTTCTTCAGGAGTTCACTCTTCTTTCAGTGTGCAGGTACTGCCCTTCTTCAGGAGTTCACTCTTCCTTCAGTGTGCAGGTACTGCTCTTTTTCAGGAGTTCACTCTTCCTTCAGTGTGCAGGTACTGCTCTTCTTCAGGAGTTCACTCTTCCTTCAGTGTGCAGGTAAATGCTCTTCTTCAGGAGTTTCACTCTTCCTTCAGTGTGCAGGTACTGTCCTTCTTCAGGAGTTCACTCTTCTTTCAGTGTGCAGGTACTGCCCTTCTTCAGGAGTTCACTCTTCCTTCAGTGTGCAGGTACTGCTCTTTTTTAGGAGTTCCCCTCTTCCTTCAGTGTGCAGGTACTGCTCTTCTTCAGGAGTTCACTCTTCCTTCAGTGTGCAGGTACTGCTCTTCTTCAGGAGTTCACTCTTCCTTCAGTGTGCAGGTACTGCCCTTCTTCAGGAGTTCACTCTTCCTTCAGTGTGCAGGTACTGTCCTTCTTCAGGAGTTCACTCTTCCTTCAGTGTGCAGGTACTGCCCTTCTTCAGTAGTTCACTCTTCCTTCAGTGTGCAGATACTGCCCTTTTTTAGTAGTTCACTCTTCCTTCAGTGTGCAGGTACTGCCCTTCTTCAGGAGTTCACTCTTCCTTCAGTGTGCAGGTACTGCCCTTCTTCAGGAGTTCACTCTTCCTTCAGTGTGCAGGTACTACTGCCTTATTATCCTACATACTTGTACTTTTAACCCTGACCTTTGATATATCTTTGAGTTGTGAGAGTTTTTTACTCCCGGAGCCTGGTCATGGGCCAGGCCGGAGCCTAGTCATGGGCCAGGCTGGAGCCTGGTCATGGGCCAGGCCGGAGCCTGGTCATGGGCCAGGCTCATCTGGTAATAATGCCAGGGTTAAAATTTGTTATAAATTTTATCATCCAATACACAACCTGAATATAGATGAAAGAAGCTTATGATATTTGGTCCAACTTGTATCATTTGCCAAGTCCAAGCCAGACCAAAACATTAATGTAATCTTCTCTCCTATGTGCCGGTTATTGTATGGTGTTCCAGTCGTGGTATTGTGCCTTTTTGCTCTTTTTAATCCTCCAATTTTGTTTTTCAAGGTCAGTTTAGCTACATAATAGAGCAAAATAGTCAGGTACATGTAGGTGCTGGCAGAAGACGACAGTTAATACGTGATCACAATAACTAATACTCTACTATGGTTTAGCAATATGCATAAATACCTGGTTGTAACTAGCCAAAAAATTAGCAATGGAAAGTGAATTGCCAAATATAAGTGTACGTACTTCTTTTGTTCACAGCATCATACAAATGTACTGTATTGTGGCACAGTGTACAGTAATTTGTTCTTGCATTTGTAGATGAATGCTTCATAGAACCGACATGTTGATGAATTAGACCGTACTTGCAGGAATATAATGGTCGACTGTCTAGTAGTTTTTTTTTTAAGTGTCTTGCTGACAGACTTGAGTTTCTAAATGTTGATAGAGATGGTCAAATTGATTATAAGGGTTGTTGATGCTTTCAGCTCTCTCTCTCCTCTGTCTCTATCTGTCTCTGTCTCTCTGTCGCTGTCTGTCTCCTCTCGTCTCTCTCCTGCTCTCTGTCTCTCTCTCTGTCTCTCGTTCTCCTCTGTCTCCCTGGGCTCTCCCTCTGTCTCTCCCTCTGTCTCTCTGTCCTCTCTCGTCTCCTGGCTCTCCTCTGTCTCTCTGTCTCTCTCTCTGTCTCTCTCTGTCTCTCTCTCTGTCTCTCTCTCGTCTCTCTGTCTCTCTCTGTCCCCTGTCTCTCTCTCTGTCCTCTCTCTCTTTTCCCTCCTTCCTCTCTTCCTCTCTGCTCCTTTCTTCTCTTTCTCTCTCCCTTTCTCTCTCCTTTTTTCTCCTTTTTCCCCCCTTTTTTTTTCTCTCTCTCCTTTCCTCTCTCCTCTTTCTCTCTCTCTCTTTTTTTCCACTTTTTCTCTCCCCTTCTTTCTCTTCCCCCCCTCTTTCTTCCTCTTTTCTTCTCTCTTCCTCTTTTTTCCCTCTCTCCCTCCTTTCTCCTCTTTTTCCCCTCCCCTTTTTCTCTCTCTCCCCTCCTCCCCACCTCTCCTCCTCTCCTTCCCTCTCTCTCTCTCCTCTCTTCTTCCCTCTTTCCCCCTCTCTCTTTTTTCCCCCTTCTTCTTTTCTCTCTCTTCTTCTCTCCCTTTTTCCCCCCCCCCCCCCCCCCCCCCCCTTTTTTTTCCCCCCCCCCCCCCCCCCCCCCCAAACCCCCCCCCCCCCCCCCCCCCCCCCCCCCCAAAAAAAAAACCCCCCCCCCCCCCCCCCCCCCCCCCCCCCCCCCCCCCCCCCCCTTTTTTTTTTTCCCCCCCAAAAAACCCCCCCCCCCCCCACCCCCCCCCTTTTTTTTCCTTTTTCCCTCCTCCCTCCCCCCCCTTTTCTTCCCCTTTCTCTCTTTTTCTTCTTTTCTTTTTTCCTCTTTTCCTCTTTTTTCCCTTTCCCTCTTTTCCCCTTTCCCCCTTCTCTCTCCCTTTTCTCTCTTTTTTTCCCCTCTTTCTCTCTCTCTTTCTCCCTTTTTCTTCTCCTCTCTTTTCCCTTCTTTTCCTCTCTTTCTTCCCCCCTTTTTTTTCCCCCTTTTTTTTCTCTCCCCCCCCCCTTTCCCTCCCCTTCTTCTTTTTCTCTTTTTTTCCCCCTTTTCCCTCTTTTTCCCCTTTTTCCTCCCCTTTCTTTCTTCTCTTTTCTCCCCTTCTTTCTCCCCCTTTCTTTTTTTTTTCCTCTCTCTCTTTCTCTCCTCTCTCCCCTTTTCTCTTCTCTCCTTTTCTTTTTCCTTCTCTCTTTCCTCTTTTTTCTCTCCCTT